TGTTTGCCTTGGCGGAGTTACAGCTGTGGCTGCACGCAGGGGCACGCAGCCACGTGGCTCCGCAAATGAGGGACACAGGCCCCCCATCCTTCACGTATTTTGGTGGGGGGTCACAGTGCCTGCATGATGCCAGTGGTGCTGCCTGGGGGAGGGAGAGGGAAAATGAGGACAGAGCACTCGGCCATCCAGTGCACAGCAGGGGAGAACAAGCTGCTCTGGGGATGTCAGGGTGAAGCTAAAGCAAGGAAAGATGGGGTTTGGGCACTAGCAGCCTTCCCAGGGGCAAGGCCACCATGTGAGGTGCCCAGAGCCTGTGAAGGATCACAGTGCTTTTCCTTGCCGGGAGGGGATGCTGCCCATCCACTGGGAACTTCAGATCTGACCCAGGAAAACAGCAGGGAACTGGCAAGAGAGGAAATCCATCTCAGGACTTTTCCATGTTTAGTGCCAGAAACTCCATTCTACTATTGGCGAGCTCCCATCTCCAGGAAAGCAGCATGAAAACTTTTCTGGCGTCAGTTCAGAAGTCTTTATTATGATAAAGATACAGAGATTTGTGCGTGCATCAAAACAATGATCCACTTCATCAGGGCTGAGCCACAAAAAGAAAGCGCATGGTCCGGGTGGCAGGGACAGTTGTCCTCGGTGTGCCCCCCCCAGCCCCTCGTGAACAGGCTGTTGAGCCCCATGATGCAGCCCCGCAGAGCCTGCACATCCCCCTGACACAGAGCACGGGAAGTATTGGGACAGACCAGGACAAGGTACATGTCCAGCTGTGAGCTGCTCTTGGAGAAGCTGGAGAGCCCTGGCCAGCACCAACTTGGCAAATCAGCCTCTCACCGCAGAGGTGATGGCCGCACTTCCGAGAGCTTTCTTCCAAGTGGAGGCTCCACTGTGCTTTGCTGTAGGGCCAGAGAAATCAGCTGTAGCCCGTGCACAGAGGAGAGCTGGCTGTCGGGGAGGAGAGCAAAGGGTACTTAGAGCCCGTGGTGGGGACTGGTTGCTTTCTACAAGAGGTGAGCATGCTGCAGACACCCAGGCTTTCTCTTCTGACCCCCGAAAATCTCAGCCTCGCTGATAGTTTTGCCTCAGACCTGACTCTTGGGTAATCATGAGAGAGCTCAAGAAAGTCATTAGTCCCAGAGAGACCAGACTGCTCCTGCACCCTGCACAGCTATCAAATCCCCCTGCAATGAACCTTCCCAAAAATGGACCACTCAACATCTGAACCCGAACCAGAGACACTAATCCCACCTTGCTGCAGCACATCTCAGGGCTTCCTGTGGCAAAACAGGAGAGACCAAGGTCTGGAGTCTCAGCAGCCCAGCAGAGCTGATCAGTGAATAAATATTTTCAAGACAAGAATATGTGGTGTTAAAAGATGCTTTAACCAAGAAGAGCAAAACTGTACAGGAGCCAGCAGCTGGAAATCGAAGCCAGAAGCTATCAAATGATAAATAAGGCACAGATAATTATCAGTGAGGCAGATCAACTGCATTAACAAGAGAAGTGATACCATATTATTACTAGCATGTTTGGAAATTCCCCCCCACTATCGTTAATAGTCTTCACATATGCATTGGGTGGCTCTGGAGCACACATTTGAGCTGAATACAGCTGGGTCAGATGCAGCACAGAAGCAACAAAATGAACATTCATTAAACTTGAAATCTTTGACCAAGGATTTTGTGTAGCCTCCATGGATGAAGTCCTGCAATAGCAGGAGAAATGTGGAAGAAAAAAAAAAAAAAATGCTTTTATGGGAAGGTTCAAGCACAGCCAGTGATATGGAAGGGTCTCACCCTTATAGGACATCTTCAGTCAGCCAATTCCTGGACCCTCAGCCTGCTCAAGAGATTTTTAAATGGCATGTCTGGTGTCACCTTAGAAATTCTAGTTCTGGAGAGATTGACCCGTAAACGTGGTCTAAAAGTCATAAGGTTTAAAAATAATGTAACATATTTTGTATTTATCTTCGTTTGGGTCCTTTAGGCTGCACTCAAGTCACACTTACAGGTTTAAAAAACCCAAACCAAAAAACAAGAGAAGGAAAGCAGGAGGGAATAAGCAAAGATACCGGCTGATCACCTGACTCCAGAATCAAGAGCTAACAATATTAGTACTATGGGACTTGCAATAAAGATACAAAACATTGCTCAGACTCTTCTGCCAGGTTCTGTATTTGACCTTTTCCTTTGCATAAACACTTACAGCAGGGACCAGAAGAGTAGACTGGCACAGGCTTTCTCTCCACGCCAGCTTCCACATGGAGTTTCTGCATCCATTTCTGAAGTGTCCCAATGGATCTGCCAGTTCCAGCATCACGGACACAACTAAGCAGCTGCCGGGTCCCCGAGGAGGTCTCAGGAGAGGAATTACCATTCTGCAGGTTTCCACACCGTTTGTGGGGAGGAAGGATGCACCTTCCCCATGCGGGGAGCTTCTCCAGGGCACCTGCTCTGCTAGAAAGACTCCGTATGCAAGGAAGGTGGCATAGAATGGGGTGTGTTGCAGGCTGGGCTGACTGGGGAGCCGAAGCAGCTCTGATCACATGGTCCTCCTGTGTGCCTTCCAGCCGTGACCAAAAACTACTGTTAATCTCTCATCTACCTATCTTTGCTGAAAACAACAGAAGGAAGATTCCATCTCTAGATGAATTCCAACATCTCAATGTATTTGCAGGTAAAACAAAAACTGGTCAATGGACAAACGGTGTGGGGAAGTGTTATTTGTGGGTTGGTCTGGATCACTTGCTTGGGGGAATATTCTCTGAATAGTATGTGTTTCAGTGGAGCCATGTGGAAGGCAAAGCGGCTCATGTTAAGAGATAGTGAGGTATGGCGTGAGACAGTGGCCATTCTGGAATGCAATGACCAGAAAAAAAGACCAAGTTGCAATAGTCCAGCTGGAAAAAACAGCCCCAAAACTTTCTCTTAACTGAGCAGACCTGGTCCCGAGATATATGAATGGGGAACATGGAGTATAGATCAAAACCAGAGGGTTTTACTTTTATATACACTATTAGCCACTCTACTACCACTTACTGCTGAAAACTTTGGTGTCCAAATTTCAGAAAGATGTAAAAATTTTCAAAGAAGTGGAGTTAAGAGCTACAAGTGAGGTCAGCACAGAGCACTTTACAGATTGAAGATCAATCTATTTAATATGATACAATGATGACTTGCAAGCACTAACAAGGAAAAAGGGATTTTGATAGCAGAGAGTTCCTCAGTCTTTCTGAAATGGGCAGAGCAAGATCCAACAGAAGCTGAAGCCAGCTAATTCAGAGGAAAAATAAGACACAGATTTTTGGAAGAACAATGAACTGCCCAAAGATCTTACCACAAGACAGGGTAGATTTTTCCCTTTCCTTTAGGTCCTTCAATATGTTACGGCTCCTACTTCCAGGCATGAAGTAGAAATAACTAGGGGAGATTTTCCAGCCTGCGCTGTGCAGAGGGACAGACTGGGAGAGCATGAAAACCCTGAGCGCTGTGTCTGTGCTTGCCTAAAGGAGAAGGCTTTACTGGGGTTGCACATCCTGATCCCCTACATGCTGCCTTCTACAGCTTTGCTCGGGGCAACAGGCAAAGGTGTGTGTTTGTCATGCCTTTCTCTCCACAATATCTGCTTTCTTTTGGCCTGCAGCACTTACAGGTCATTGGGAGAAGAGATTTCTGAGATTTCTTGGGAGGTAGACAGGCACCAGTGGTTTCCAAGTGGTTTTTTTTTACAAAAATGGATTTCTGACTTACCTCTCTCTTTTTTTTTTTTTTTTTTGGACCAAGGAGTGGAAAATGGAAGAAAGTGGTTCATAAACGTGATCAGTGGCATCGCCCTAGTTGTGTGCTAGAAGATGGGCTGCAGTATGTGCACTCACAAGCCCTGGTTCTTACGGTCATGGGATAAGCCTAAGCCATGAGGGAAGGAAAGGCAAAGTTTCACTGATTTTGCTGGTGGAAATAGTGGTTTGATCTGTGCACGCTCATGCTAGCTAACTGCTGCCAGCTGCGTATTTAGAAAGGAACATGACCTAATAAACATTTTCCCTAGATCAGAGGCTGCTGTAGGATCAGCACAGTGACACTGGATTGCTTTAGGGGGTGTATACCTGTAGGCACGCTGATCACACCAGAGTCCCTGTAGGCATAAGCACTCGCTACTTGTCAAGGATCCTCAGCCAGTATGAGCTGTTCCTACAGAAATCAGCAATGCCTGGCTGGGAACTCATGTCTTGATGTACCCTAGGGACACAGGAATGGGTTGGTGTAACAGTAAGCCAGCTTTGGTCCAACAACAACATCAGGAAGACGTGGGAAAGAGGCTTCTTGCCACCTGCAAAAGGAGCAGACAGCCACCAAAGCCCAGCTAAGGGCTGATGACCACCAGCACACTCAGTTTCTTCATCCTTGTCCCTTCTTTTCCCAGAGTGGCATTTGGGAGCCTGGCCAGCCCTTGGGGCCAGCCGGGTGCAGCCCTGGCTGTAGGGCTGCTAGGACTCAGGGCACGGGGAGGCGAACGGAGGTGTGCTGGTGCGGGAAGGGCTCTCGGGAACAGCTTTAGCAGAGGAGGAGCAAGATCACCCTGTGTGTGATTGCTCCCAAGAGCTCAGTGGGATGTGTAACCCTGAGATTACCCTTGCAGGAGCACTGGCTCCCAAAGATTGCTGCCGCTTTTCTCTTTATAATGCTGTGCAGAAGGCAAAAAACAACAAGCAGCAAAGTTTCATTGAATTAAAGTATGACCCATTCAAGGAGGGGACACCCACTTGTCTGTTCTTGGCAGAGAGAGGTGGTGAGCCTGGTGTCCCAACATCTGTCAGTGCAAGTGTGAGTCAGAAGAAATAAATGCCCTTGTTGTACACAGTCAGTAGCTTCAGTGAGAGGTGAGAGAGGCTCTGCAGTACAGCCTGCTCTGCTGGGGTCTCCTAGCCCTGAGCAGCCAGGGTGACACAACCGC